CCATATGGCAATGAGAGAATATTAATTACCGTTGCTTTTTAATTAACAATTGCTTCATCTGAGCAGTAACATTTCCTTGACATCCCCCGACTCGCCGCTAACCTGTAAAGTGCACGCGCCATACCAAGTCATCAATTCATTTTTATTGACATCCTACCTCCCCCCCCCAAACGGGCACGATACCAGGGTTTTCCAATTAACACCTCCACACTCTCTAATTAGCGCAATTAACAGACTGATGGATGCCCAGAGCTTCCCTGCGAGGGAGGGCGCAGCTCAGCCGGCCGGGCTGTCGGACACGGCTCCCGCCACGCGCACGTGTGCCCGACACGCGTGTGCCACGCTCCCGGGGGTCCCGCGGGAGCAGCACGTGTGTGCCGTGCCGTGCCGCGGAGACCTGTGCCTCCACGGAACCCGGCACCACTATGGAACCCGGCACCGCCGCGGAGCCTTTCCGAGCCCCCGGCAGAAAGTGGAGGATGAACGCGAAGACAAGCGACCCGGCAGACTCGAAGCAGAGATTTGCACCAAAGGAACGGGGGTTTTTTAGGCACAGGAATAGGAGATGGGGCGTCTCCAGAGTGATTTCCCCCCCAAAAAGCTCCCAACGAACTTTGGGGGCATCCAGACCCACCCAAAGCGATGCGGCTTCTCCACCCAATTCAACTCCACAGACGTGAAAATTAAACAGCGCTTCTCAGCCCCTGGGACACGCCGAACCAGGTACAGCCGAGACCACGAGCTCTTAAGAAGCGATTGCCTGAACACTGATTTTAGCCGCTTCTCCTATTTTTAAATATCCGCAATACCGCGGTCCTCAAGGGCTCGGTAATTTTGGAGCTCCCTTCGCAGGCTGCCGGCAGCACCGGGGCCACGTATGGACCCGGCACCATGGGCGTCTCGTCCCCACTGCCAGCGGGTCCCCGTCCCCATCCCCACACCGATGCCACCGGGTGCCCCTTGGCCGCGGTTCCCCCAGGCGCAAACACCAAGAGCATCCCCAGCTCGAAACCACCACCCGGGAGGGATGAGGATGACCAGTGGGAAACACCGGTGGGAAAACGCTTCCCCCCACAGCTCCGTCAGCCGAGCACGTCCCCAGCGCCAAACTGCGTTTTGCACGGGACAGCACGAGTAACACCTTGCATTTATGAGCGGCCCTCTACCGTGATGCTCCAGAGGTTTTTCCCACCATATCCCAACCCCAAAGCGGTTTTCCAGAGCTTTCCTCCCAGCTCCAGCCTCGCCAGGACCCGGAGGGGAGCAGGGGGCTGCCCGCGGCACGGCGCGGGCTCTCCCTCCGGCAGCCGGAGCCGGGTGTGCCACAGCCTCTTCTGCGGGTACCGGTGGATGACGGAGGAGCACGGACTGAGCGAATCCCCCTCCAAAAGCTGTCGGAAGTCCTGCGGGATGTTCCTCTGCAGGGCTGGGAGGAGATGAGGAATCGGGAACGGTGGCGGCTCGATCCCAGGCACCGGATCCGCTCCGAGCTACGGAAAGTTGAGCAACCTGCCCGTCCGGATCCGGCACCGCCGCGGCTTTAGGAAGCGGCTGGCTAATCTTAAAAGGCTTCGGCTTGAAGAGAAGCAGCAGCCGGGATTGCTTGGAGAGTGGCTTTTTACCCTTTAATTAACACATAAACACATGGAAATGTGGAAAGGGGATTAAAATAAAAGTCTGGAGGAGCTGAAACGAATCTAGAGCATTACTGTAAATTAGAAGAGATTTAAGGAACCAAGGACCGGCTAAGCCTGGGCACCGCTTTAATGGGATCTCACCTCTGGGCACTTTCATCTCCCACTTTCATCTCGTTCACAGCAACTTCTTTGGGAAGAACCAACCTGCGGGCGCTCGCCCCGGGCTGGCGGGCAGACCTTCACCGCCCGCGGCTCTCCTCACCTGCCCACCGCGATGCCACCACCGCCCCGGCCACGTTCGCGGGCATCGGCAACCGTCAGACAGCGGAGAGCATTTGCCGCTACGCCGAAATGAAGCACGAACAACCACAGTGAGGTTTTTCTCCCCGAAAAGGTGGGTGACGCCATTCGAAGAGCCTGGAGATCACCTGGAAGCACGAGCATCACCAACGGGGGAAGCCGCCGGGACCGCGTCGTGCCGCTCAGCGGGACGTGGCGCTACTCACGCGTGAGTCCCGACGAGC